GAAGCTTCGTGAATGTTTTCAGTTATTTAAAAACCACTTATTCTTTCAAATAAGCACGAGTATAAACTTCGTTAAGAAATCAAGGATGATTCAGCAAAGGTTGAATCGTAGAACATGCTTTACATAGCTTAAATGTAAAAACAGTATTCTTCTTTGAGTTTCGAGCCAGGTTTTGATGATGAATTTTAATTCCAGAAGCAGCACTTATTTTAGGCTTCTCTATTTTCGGCAGTTATACATTTGATTCTATTTCTGATCTGTTTTACTTTTGAGATTTTATTGTCATTCTAGTCAATATTACCAGAGCAAACTTTATGCGATTTTTCTCAAAGGTAGTTGATTTACTTAACTTAAGAGTTCAGAATGTGACTTTTTCCTATAACTCTCTCATTCTCGTTGACATTACTGTTTGAACTAGGTGTCCCGTTGATCTTAATTCTGAAGATGAGTTTGTTTCTGCCTTTATTCCATTGCTTTGAATCCCGTTTGTTGAACTGATCGTTTACTTAAATGAATACTAAGCCTTTTTAAGTTGTCTTGCATCTTTTGTTTTTATGGTTTCAGTGACTTCACGATTTTCTCAACCAAATTCATATCAACAATCTTCCAAATGCACTTCATGTTGACTAGTCGATTATTTTCATACAGAAACTATTCAAAGACTTGTGCTATATAAGATTTTCTTTAGATGCTGTGAATGTTTAAAAGGAAATGATCTCAAAAGCTGTTAAAAGTAGTTTACTAACTCACTTCCTAATCAGTCACAAACTATCACACATATGAATACAGAACATCAACAGTTTATCGTTAGTAAATTTACTAACTCATCTGAATATAAAGTCCTTTGCTATGTGAGAAATTAGGCATATGTCGTATTATATCCATATAGTCATAAATGGAGTCTAATGTCGGAATTCTTACCTAGCAAAAGCGAATTGATTACATTTTATTCTCTTATCTTGTGCAAAACTTCAAAATCAAATAGAATGTTGTTCTCCAGTTTTCACCCTAAAACTAATTTCTGGATATCATATCTTTTAATATTCAGCTAGCAATATATATTATATATATGTATCTGACCTGGAATAGTATGACTTGTTGTTTTCGCTGTCCTAAAAACGTTTATCATTCTTATTTGGCTAAGTTTACTAGGCTACTTTGATTACCGTCAGTTTGTAATTCAGAAGTAATGTAAAGGTTACAGAGCAAAACTATATGCTTGCTAAATCTAACAAAGTTCAGCCAATAAATCATTACGGCCAAGTCATAAAGCAAAATGTTGACGGACTTACATATATACCAAACTAATTGGTAAAAAAACATATGCGTAAAATAAAATTCTTCATGTGGGAAAGTCAGAATCGGTCATATGAGTGTTTTATCTGAAGCATTCAGCTACACTGAAAAATTAGTTTAATTGTAGTTTCCTCAATATGAGCATCTATCTGCTTATCTATCTACCTATATATATACCGATCTATCTACCTACATATATATATATATATATATATATATATACATTGATATATGATGATGAAACACGTTAAAGTCTGTGGTGGTAAGCAGCGACGTGAACTGATTACTTTGGAATTTATTTCTTAAATTCTTTTTGAACAATTTGGTCCACGCTGGCATTTTTATGAATCAAGTAACTAACTCGATGTAGCGTACGCTTAAATTTCTTTTGGAAGTCAATCGACAATTATTTTAGGCTTTAAATTCTTTCTGAAATTGCTATGAACCATGAATGAATATATACGACTGAGCAACATTAGTGATTAAACATTGCACAAACACTTATAAATGTATCGAGTATCGAGTTATATAGAACAACGTGATTATAAACATGATGAGTTTTAAGCCTTTCGTGTATATCTTACTTGTTAAAACGGCTCATAAGCTTCTAGCATGTCTAAGAGTCCCGTCTACCGAGTAGAGCATGTCTAAAACACTACTCAGATGATAAGAATGCTATACCTAACTAGAGATTTGGATAATTTTAAATAAAGCTGTTAGATACGATATTACTTTGAAGTTTGCGTACAAGTGACTGTGGGATACTTACACCTTTAAAGTAGGAGTGGACTTTATGATTTTGTGTAGTGAGAAAAATTTAATGACCGATGATCATATGAAATGACTACATTTTGGGGTGTACATTAGATGATAACCCCAAGTTAAGTAACATCTGAAATGAGCTAATATTCTCATGTGCATGCCTTAAGAGCAAGCTTATCCCACTGTTTATAAATCTGTACAAATGATCCTGACGATAACCAATACAACTATATATATATATATATATATATATATATATATATATATATATATATATATATATATATATATATTGCGATTCATTAAGATTTTGTAAGTAATGGTACATGAAGGTAAATATCAACTTTAGGCTTAAATTGTGACTCGCGCCTCTGGTAAGTTTAATTGTTCGTCTAGTTTTGTCAACTTTTTCCGTCTCCTGTTTGTCATTGAAATTTTGAACGAAATGTAAATTAGTATAATTGTCATTGATTGGATAGAATTGATCGGTCTCTATTGACATACAAGCAGTTACACTAAAACTATACCCATCGCACAAGAAATGGCTATCGTGGCTCGATGGTACAGTGAATTACGCTCTGGAGCTTGAAGCAGTCACTCCGAAGTCGGAATACAGATGGTGAACAACATCACTCACTGGAAGGCAGGTACGTTCAGCTGACGAGTCTCAAATAGGAAGAAATGCGCATCCTGGATCCCACTGCTGGCCACTATCCATCATTACTAAAAATGTGAATTATTTCACAGCTTTTCGAAAACTCGTTTACAACAAACTCAAGTATACATAGGCTTCACGGATGAAGTAAACTTTGAAAATCGTCAATAGTCAAACTGTTGGACAATTTTATAGAAGTTCACATTTATTCCCTATAATCCTACTATAAACAAATGTTGAAGTGTCAAGATTAAACTGTAAGCATTTGCTTTAAACAAATGTAACGGACATTTCTGTTAACATTAATCTGATACGATTCTGCTGTGTTAAATGTCACGGTATGAAAACCTCTGACATTTACTGGCAGGAAGAATGTATTCATTATAGACATACTGTAGAAACCAACTTATATCAAGAACCTAAATTTAAGGTATTCCTAACTGAGTGTAGTATGTACACCTGCATATCAGTAAGATTATTCTATCTTTTGTGCTCCACTTACTGTGCAAAGCATTTCTGCTTATTTCATCCCTCCAATTATCCAAGCTACTGGCATCAATAAATCATAATGGAAGTCAACTGTCCGATTTCTGCTCTATGAGATTAATATTTCTTCTAGACAAATGAAACCCCAAATCGTTTTTTTTTGAAATTACCTTATTAGGACATTTTATCAGTACAATCTTATTCATTTGTCTATGCAGTTTTAATACTATTACAAGAATTACGATAAATATTTTTAGTTTCCAGTCTTTCCTGCTGTTCGATTGCAGAACTGCTTGTTCAACTTTTGTCACACAGTTGAACACTAAACCAGTCAAAGAAGTCAGTTCATTTCGTTGAATTAGCCTTGAAATCGAATGATACGAATATATAGAAGAACGCTAAATTTAAATTGTTATTGGTGTTTGGTTTTTCCGTAAACATCCTAAGAGCTATTTGCTAACTCCCTTCATACTTTACGAAATGTTTTCCTTTGTGTGCACTGAGAAACTTCAAACTTTAAAAGTCCTGAAGATTTACTAGATGATTACTCAGATAACACTATGCATGGTGGCTTTATATGTTTCTAAAACACAAGACAGTCAGGGTTTTGCAATGCTTAAATTCTCTCAGTGTTCAATCCAAATGAAAGGATACTGCCCGCCTTAATAATTAAGTTTATATATGCAACTTTACAAATGTTCTGCATCATAGCTTTCAAGTGATAATGTATGGTCAGTAGGAAGGCACTCAATAAAATCATCAATCATCACTTAGTGTGATAACGATATCGTTCATACTAAATCTGTCAATTTTGAAGGTAAACTAGAAAACCAGTGTTGGCAGTCCAAGTCTTAACGTATATTCAAGAGTCTAGAATCATTGTGCAGGTTTTAATTTGAAAATGTTTTCGATAGTTCTTTCGTAGTTCTATCTGGTTTAATTCAAAAAATCATATTTATAATCAGTCAAACAGCAATAAAGGAGGGCCCGATAGATCCTATGGAGACTAAGTTCGGAATTTTACTTCTCTTCAACTGACAACTTCAATTTCTTTCCTCCCATTTCAGATAACAGAATAACATTTTTCTATGCAGTAGTTGACCACTTATAAGGCATCTAACAATAACTAAGATTACTTGACTTGAAAAAGTGATGCTTCCCAAATTTCATCATAAACGAACTTTGGTTAAATAAATGTTCAGAGCCTGTGCATTGTGTTGACCTTCTGAAATACGAGTGAATTGCGATTCAGAAAAAAGCAGCGGCCTTATGGAGGTATAGTCGATTGTACTTTCAAGTGTTGTTAACTTCCTGTCGCTCATACACTTATTAGGTTAGGCGTCAGAAAACGCCAATTCCTTCAATTCGGTTATTGTGTTCATATGAATTACTAAACGGTAATCCCTACAATGGATGGGAAATCATACGTCTGCCTATACATACCGAAGAAATTTTTGTATTCCTTCATCGATAAACTCCTTTAACTAAAGTCTTGCCAAATCTTGGCACAGGAAAAAGCAAGTTCTTCTTAATGATCCTAAATTATGCACTTCACTCAGGTTCATATTTAACAAAAGATACATCATAAGTTCCAGTAGATGCGATCGATAAAGGAACCGAACAAAATGTCTTTTTAATTATAATAAACATGGTACACAACACACAACAGTATATATGTATATATATATTTCGTTTTCGAAGTTCATATTCTGACGGAGAGATTAATCACGTGGTCGCTTATTGACTACACAGAATCTGAAAAGATACAGATATTATACATTAGGTTTCTTTTTTATTTCAGGGAAGTACTTATCATGGACTGACATCAGTTGGAGAACCATTGAAAACCTATAGTGCTGGATAGCCGGGACTTTATAGGAGTGGAAACATACTACCCCAACGGGGCTCAAACCGGGCACCATCAGATTTTGCATTATTTCCGGACTGATGCTAGTCCCTGATGAATGCTTGCTTACAATTATTTAATTCTCACAGATCTCTGAGCTGAATTTCTTTTTATGTTAACAGAAATAAAAAAGAAAAACAATCACTCGTTTCTATATTGTTCAGTTATTTCTTAAAACAGAAATAAAACTAACCAGTCATTTACTAGAATTATTACTTCTTTTGACGAAACGTTTCCGAATGATATTGGTCTTATGAAATGCGAATTAAGTCCTGTAAGATTAAAGGTGTTAGACAATGTAAATTTTAGTAGAAATACTAAGCAGATACAACAATATTGGTAGTTCTCATTCATATGCTTTTTAACATTGTATGGATACAATGCAAGTTTTCATGTTTTGTCCAAATTACTTTATTGATTAGTTAACCGCTATAATTGATCTCATCAGTTTCTCATTCTTCTTTCCTCTCATTTACTACTTTCTACTTCTCTTGACCGGTTTCTCTCTTTTTTTCTTCATCTTCCATTTTATTGCCTTGTTACTTGATTTGGTGATATAAAGTGTGGCAACTTGGGCAGTTACATAGTAATTTCTGGTCCTGTGGTGGTTTTAATGCTGCTGATAAGACAAAATGATGGAAGATGAGCAAATTTGAAATCAAGACAAAACGAAACCAGTAAGTTGCATTAAGATGAATCACTGTAACAAGAAGTGACCCCGTAATTCAAAAGCATTTTTGGTTACTCTTTTTTAAAGAAAATTTACTACTTATAGTCTTGATAACATATTAGTAAGGTTTGTCGTATAAGGTGTATTTTTACTTGTATAATCTCGGTGTAGTAGATTACAACAAATAATAAAGTGAACAAATATTTTGTATAATACCTCAATGTTTCGACCTTACTAAGAAGTACCTTTTCAAGAATATGAATCTGACTTTAGGTTTTCAGGTTAATATTCAAGTTTTGGTACACAAGGTGACCTTTACCATCATCAAACTACATCATCCTAGGCTTCATGTTTTTACCTAACCAATTCTTGTGAGTAATATTCGACGTTCTACTGCTTCCTGTTTTCCACAATTCTTCATTTGAAATACCTTACAAACTTATGAAGCTAAACGAACATAAACATTTGATAAGGTATGTGGGTAGCGTGAATTTTAGTTGTACAGATTTTAAGTTGTCCAGTCCCATAGGTTGGTTTATGGTTTTAGTTTCACTTGTTTTCTAGAACACAAATCATATTGTGGATGTCCAAACCTGACCATTGGCTCATATTGAGAAATCTATTGACACCGTCACCGATGAGTTCTGCAAACTGTTGAATCGAAAGCATCGCACATCTTTGTAAGATGATTAATTACTTAAAAATTATGCATTTCTTAGGTATGTCAAAATTAGGCCGAACAGATGCAGTATCCGAAGTGGAAATTAAGTATAAGTGAAAACTGAAAGGAGTTGTTTCTTTTTTGTACCTATCAGTTCTAACTAAAACAAACAACAATGAGAAAGGATACCAAAGGTACAAGTCACTAGTTTTACATTCCGAGAAAATAATGGAAAGAGGTTGTGTATCTGAAACGTGTGAGACATTGGCAAAATATCTGTCACACAACTTGGTCAGAAACTTACGTGTCATACATATTTATGCGAGGAATATATGAAAGAATAAATGACTTAAAAAAGGATTTGATATAATAAAGGGTCAAAATGCTCGTTTGAGTAGAAAGAGAAAGGTAGTATTTCAATCATTCTTGGTTATAGATTTACGTTGCCATGGGAGATGTAACAAAGATGCAAAAATACAGTTTGTTTTTCTCTCTGTATTACAGAAACAAAAACGGTGCCTAATAGGGATTCGTTTCTCAAAACAAATAAAAAAGATGGTAACTTAGGTTTCTAGTCATTTATTTCCTAAGCTGCAAATGTTAATTAATCAAGACTGTGATTTAAAGGTTCTCATAGTGACGTTCGACAGAGACGCCGTAATGGATGGGAAATGAAGCGTATCGAAGTGCACTGTTCAAAAAAAGGTTGCCTTGAATACTTAATTTGCATTTTGTTTTTTAAATATTTGCCACACAGAGTGTAAGATTAAGAGGTGATCAGTGCTTATTCTAATAAAAAGACAGACGTAATGGAAGAGAAACTCGTAGAACTATGTAAGAACAGGCATTTAATATTGGAGTTAAGGGTGGGATAAAAGGGTATACTTCTTCTGAAGTATGTAGATTAAGTTTTAAGAGACAGGCGAACACTCACTTTCATGGATGAATTACAAGAAAACTAAAATTATCTATGATCAAATAACAGTTACGTGTACATCACTTTTTCGGCTTAACATAAAAATAGGCTGATATTCGAAATACCTCTTAAATTGTCAACAGATAGTATGATATGCTACTTATGCAGTACTGGGAGAACATTTCCTATTGAAAGTCAAATTCCAACATTTGAGATAGGTATATGGATTTCAGTGACAATGACCCTAGGTTCTGAGTACTAAATGGTCCTCTACAAAATAGTCGTAACTGAAAATTATCGACTGCAGCATAGGTTCAACTTTCCAAGGTCTTTTTTTTATTCACACTTAGTGTCCTGCTGCTTTATTCTAAATTACATTAATTTAAAATATATAATCCCTTACTTTTGTTTTTAGCATTTGAACTGTTAGGCTGTGGAGAATTCTAATTGAGCGACTCATTTCTCTAACTACTTCCTATCGAACAATTAGGTTTTCATCTTCAAATGTGCCAACCTCCATTAATTTTCTGTTTTCTTAAGACTGTGGTGAGATTCACAAAGAAAATTAGATACATTTCTGTTTGTTGTTAACTTGTGTTAAATTTAATACCCAATGGCCAATTTTGTTAATAAAAAAGGGGCAGACAGTCATGTTAGCATCAGTTAGGAAAATGCAGCTTAACGATCATTACCAATAACTAGTATGTCAGCTTACTGAATAAAAAATCAAATAATTTAGGTCTTTTCTTGTTTGCATACTCGTTAACTGCTTACATAAGTTAGACATTACTATTTATTGACATACTTATTCTCCGTTGTTTTGTTGGGTCGAATTGTTCGACCTCTATTGATATATGGGCTCCTTTGCCTCGATATTGCCTGAATGTTAATTATTATAATTTGGTTGGTTGTGGCTAGAAGAAGAGTCCAGGATGCGCGTTTCGTCCTATTCAGGACTCGTCAGCTGGATATACCTGCACCCCAGTGATGTTGATCCCACTGAGACTCGAACCTCGTACCCATCGCTTCAAACGCCAAGGTGTTATACACTACGCCACAAAGGAATAATAGCCACTTCTTGTATGACGGGTGATAGTTATTACTATTTATCGACATACTTGTTATTCTCCGTTGTCTTGTTGGATCGAATTACGGCTATCATTCCTCTGTGGCATAGTGGATAACGCCTAGGCGTTCGAAGCGATGGGTACGAGGTTCGAGTCTCAGTGGGATCAACGTCACTGGGGTGCAGGTACATCCAGCTGACGAGTTCCGAATAGGAGGAGGTGCGCATCCTGGATTCTTCATCTAGCCACAACCAACCAAATTGTCACAAGTTAGACAGTTGAAAAATACATATTTTGAAATTCACACAGTTTTTAGATTGTACGTCGCATGGACAATAGTACATAAAACACACTTTCCAGGGACATGATCGGTAGATAAACATCGTAATTGGAATCGCAAACCTATACTGTCTAAATTGTAAGCATGAGCTTTTGTTCACATCTTACCGAAGAGACCATAAAGCTCATAACGATTTAGTAGGCTACCAGCTGTTACATAGCTGTGTTGTTCTACAACCTATATTTTCACTTTTGTTGTGTTGTGTTTCATTCAACTTTGAGGTTTTTCGAGATTTATTGATTTCAGGTTGGTTTTGATCCTGGGCTGACATAAGCTGAAGAAGCACTGGAAGCCTGGGAGCAGTGGATAGGTAGTTCATCCTAGTATAGGACTTCTCAGTACGCACGCATAATCCCCCACCAGGGATCGAACCCAGGAACTTCAGGTTTCATGACCAGCACGTCTCATTGTTTTATTGCCTAAGACTATTGTATACAGTTTAATTATTTTTTTCAATACACGAAAGCAATTCCAAATTTTAACGTTTGGAGAAAAGCAAAACGAAAAATTTTTTAGAGTGCGAAACTGAAGTAGATGCAATGAGTTGTAAAAATTATTTTTCAGTTATGGAAAATTTGATTCGTTTCGTTTATCTGTACAAAGCCTAATCAATTTAGGGTGTAGGGTGAAAGGTATCTGACTTAGCGCTAGACATTCATTTATTATCAGCTGGAAAACTGTTATGCAAAGCATCTCTGCCCACTGTATGAGTGTATAACATCATATGACGTGAAGTAAGCTCTTTGTAAGTAAACACAAGACAGCTCAGTAATTATCAAGGAAGTAATTCTCAGACATCTTCAGGATGAACTAATTCCTTTTACGTTTCCACTAGAAATTAATCCCAGTCACATCCGCATCATGTTTAATGCAAACATTATTTATGATTTTTACATGTATAATAATTATGAAAAACATTCTACGATATTTAGTAGGATGAAGTAACCTAATTTACAAGAAATTGCCTTTGTTAATGAATCTATCTGAGTTTGGTTAGTTTGGTCAGTCTGGTTAACTGATCTAGGTATACCAGGTTGATAGTTAGGGCTGACAGACAAAGCTGAAACAAATGGCACAAATATAGTAAAATATTTTATATTACAATTGTTCTAGGTTGTAAGCAACTAATGAGAAACCACAAAATAAAATGAGTGCATGCTATTCTGCAAAAGCTTTTATTTTCCCTCTGTTTTAAAATATTTCAGTCTTTGGAAGGTAAATCACAGAAAATAATGAAATACAAAAATATCTTTAAGTGTACCGATTTTAGTGTACTTTGTCAGAAAATTCATCAGTATAAAAGGAGAAAAACTTAAATTATAGATATATCAACTCATACTTATTAATCTGTTCAGTTTACAACAACAACGGTGAAAAGCACTCACTTTCTGCCTTTGACTGTATCTTCTGATGACGACAATCCATGAATCATTCCACCTGAAATGTTAACCAGATTCGTTAATGCATTTGTTACATCCGATCTCCATTGTTATTTATTGATACTTGTAACTTCCCTTTGCTATACTGAGTCGAATGGCTCTACCTCTGCTGGCAGATAAGCTCCTATGCGGATCCCTCAATATTAACAAGATATTCTCTGTATCACAGTC